TGGTCCGAAGATTGGGGATGGGGTGCTACTGGTGACCCTACTGGTCGGAGAAAAAGCCGACTAGGCCTCTGTCTCAGAACAAAATGGTGAAGAAGAAGCCAGACATCTCAGAAATTCACCATCTTTATCACCTAGTCATGCCCTAACCCTGCCTGTCTATCAGACACTCACTCCCTCTAACTCCTAGTCCCTCGACACTTAATTCATCAAAGAAGGCCACATGGAATCCAGTGTTCTTCAGTTGTAGTCCCAGCTTGGTGTGACCCCAAGGAGGTCTCTTCTGCTTTCTGGGTCTCAGTTTGTGGAAGAAGAGAGGCTGGACTAATGATCTCCTTAGGGCTTTTCCAAATGTGGCATCTGGAGCAAGATTAACCCCTGGGGTTCAGGCCCTACACCACTGGGAGTTATTCCTGTTTCCTGCTTGAAAATGAGGCCCTGAGGGGTTTGGAAACTCGATCTTTGCACAAGGTCAGAACCTGGGCCTGAGAGTCAGGAGACAGAGGTTTGAGTCCAGGGCCGACCTCTGGGTGAGCTTGGCTCAGTCCCTTCCTCTTCCTGGTCCTCCCAGAGAACTTCACCTGGCAGGAAAAGGGTTGTGGGAGAATGGTTGAGTTGGCGCCAGGCCTCTAAGCACTAAGGTTTAGTTCCTGGGGAAGGGCAGCTTTCTGGCTCTGGGTTCAACTCTGCCAGGCAACTGGGAGGGGGGAGGGAGAAAAACACATGGTCTGATACGGCCCAGGGTAAGGGAACTCACAGTCTGGCCAGGGACCCAGTGTTCAGCCAGGAACCAAATGGAAAATAGACTGATGTTCCAAGTGATTCTCAGTGTGCAGGGCTAGAGGAGATGCACTGGGGAGCTCTGAGTGGGTTATAGAAGACCCCAGGGTTGGTGTGGGGGAGGCAGAAATGGCTTCCTGGGGGAGAAGATTTTTGAAATTGGCAGGGCAGTCAGTCCAGTGGTGCCCCCAGAGATGGGAGGAGGCAGGAAGAAGGAAATTGGGTCCAGGTGACCACAGAGCAGCAGCTTGGCCTGGTATAGGAGAGGTGGGGCTCGCCTGTGGGAGCTTGGACAACAGCCACAGCTGGGCCACAGAGGGAAAGGGGGAGGGGGGGACTGGCCTCCGCACTGTGAAACACCATCTTCTCAGGCCACAGATGCAGTTACGAACTGGAGGAGCTGCTCTCTGGACAGCCCCAGGGCCCTGTCTGGCTGTCCTAGCTCTGCAGGACAAAGGTGAGAAGCACCGTTGTCTCTGGCCTCAGCCCCTCCTTAGCTCCTTCTATAGGGGCCATCGAGACACCTTCAATTTGGATGACAGGCCCTTTCTGGCATTCCAAACAGAGGCCACACAGAACATGTCTGTGTCTCATTCCTCAGGCGGATGACTGAGGCCAGTGGCTGTTAGCCAGATTAGGGGAAAGTCTAAGATACTGATAATGGGCACCAGAGCTGGAGTCAAAAGCGTGACTGCCAGGGTTTGATTCTGTTACTTATAAACTGAGCAGCCTCAGGCAAGTCTCTCAAACCTTGCTGTGCCTCTGTTTCCTCACCTGAAAAGTGGGATACTAAGATTACTTCCTGGGCATTGTGAGAGTTAAACTGGGAGCTGGGTGTGTGACGCTGAGATACACGGAAGCACAGCCAGCTCAGAGGCGGCTCAGTTAACAGACACCCGTGTCACGCCAGTCTCAGCACAGGCTACTTCACCTCTAAAATGGAGCGGGTAGTTCCTGCCTTCTGAGGCCCTTGTTACTCAGACGGACAAACTGTTCCTTTCAAGAACACACTGGAGGCCCTTCCAGGCCCCACCTCCCTGCCCCATTCCTCAGCACCCACTCCTGGTGAACAGCTGCCTTTGGCTACTCCTCAGGCCCAGGAATCTACACTGGCAGTGTGGTTTGGACTAGGGAAGGGCATGCCCACGCCCTGTCAGCTGGCTCAGGGATTCTAGGATCCTTGGTCAAGCCAGAGCTGTTTTGAAAGGAAGTGAGGGTGGACCCTTGCTGGGCTTCCCCTCCCAGTCTCTCTGATTCTTCATTCTGTGAGGGAAGAACCAGTGAAGGAAGGCTGGGGTGACCTTTTGAAGTATTGAGGCCCCAGGTCCCTGATTACCTGGACTTAATTAGGTCCTCTAAATTAAATCAGGATGGGGCTGGAGAGATGGTTCAGAGGTTAAGAACACCAACTGCTCTTCCAGAGATCCTGAGTTCAATTCCCAGCAACCATATGGTGGCTCACAACCATCCATTATGAGATCTGGTGCCCTCTTCTGATGTGCAGATATACATGGAAGCAGAATGTTGTATACATAATAAATAAAATCTAAAAAAAAAATAAATAAAAAAAAGGAAGTAAGCTGGGTGTTGGTGGCACACGCCTTTAGTCCCAGCACTAAAGGCAGAGTCAGGCAGATCTCTGTGAGTTCAAGGCCAGCCTGGTTTACAGAGTGAGTTCCAGGACAGGCTCCAAAGCTACAGAGAAACCCTGTCTCAAAAAAAAAAAAAAAAAAAAAAAAACCAAACCAACCAAACAAACAAAAAAAAAACACCACCAACAGCAACAAAACCAACAATAAAGGAAGTAAGCTGGGCATGGTGACTTACTCATTTAATCTTAGCACACAGGGTCTCCAGCCCCACAAGCCGAATGAGTAAAATAAGATCATCACCATGGAACACATCTATAAACTCTCCCACAAAGCAGCCAATGAGCATTAGCTGTCAGCTATTCTGCACACATAACTCCAATTTGTATGAATGCAGAGAGGAGAACTTACTGGGTAAGAGAACTAGGGTGTGGAAGGCTTCCTGCGGGAGGGGCATCCATGTTGGACCTTTAGGGATAAGTGGGAGAGGGCATTCCAGGAGACAAAGGAAATGACCTGTTTGGGTGTGGCTGGCTGGGAGGAGCAAGTAGAAAATCAGCTGGAGGAGCCTTTGGGGGTGCTTCAAGGACCATGTTGTCAGAGCTTGGACTGTGGGTGCAAAACAGGACTCTGGCTGTTTTAGAGAGACCTTGCTGACTGTGGTGTGGAGAATGAACCGGAAGGGAGAGTCTGGAGGTCATGCTGGGGAGGAGATCTGAGCATACTCCCGGTGGGAGGGCCCCTTCCCCCCACCTCTGGTTCAGCTCTGACCTCTCCTACTTCCTGCCTTCCCAAGTGTGTACTTGTTCCTTTGCCTGGAACATCTTCGTCCTCCCTTTGTCTGGCTTACTCCTTGCCCTTCAGATCCCAGCAGCTTGTCCTCCTGGGATGCTGCTAGACACCCCCATTTAGGTTAGGTCCTCCTCTGCACTTTCAGACCTGTGGCCTTCCTGACTGGACTCTGACCTAGGGCAGGGACTTTGCACCTGCCCTTTGTTGTGTCCAGAATGCCTGCTGTGGCTCAGTGCTGGCACCCAGGGTACCCTGTCTATGATTCACGAAATGAGCGTTGTGAGCCTGTTGGGACAGGTATTGAGAGTGGGAGTGCCCATGAGGAGGTCAGCAGTGACAGTGAAAAGAGATGGGGTAGAGTGGACAGGGACAGGGCTGAGGAGAGGCGAGCACGAGGGGAAAGAAAGAGTGGACCAGGACTCAGAGGTCTGGGTTGTCCCCATCATCCCCACCCCCACTCATTTCGATAAGCCCCGCTTTTAGCCAAGATAGGAAGCTTGAAGGAGGGGTTGGCAATAGGGAGAGGAAGCAGAGGAGGCCAGGAGCAGGAGGCTGGGGCCCTGGCACATGCTCTCCAGAATGCTCCTGTCTGCCCACCGGTGGAACCATATCGGGACTCTATAAAAATGTCTTCGGCATTATGGACATAGTCAATCCTCGGCATGCTTCCCTGGTAAGCATGAAGCCCTGGGTTTGATCCCCAGCACCTCATTAAATTGAGTGTAGCGGTGTGCACCTATAATTCCAACACTCCTGAGATGGAGGCAGGAGGGTGAGAAGTGGAAGGTGAGCCTCAGCTACATGTGCAGTTAAAGGGCCAACATGGGATACATAACACCAGTGATTGAGAGCCAGCCGCCCTGCGCTCTTCCAGAGAACTGGAGTTCAGTTCCCAGCACACATGTTGCACAACAATGTAATACATGGGATACATAACACCAGTGATTAAGAGCCTGCTGCCCTGCGCTCTTCCAGAGAACTGGAGTTCAGTTCCCAGCACCCATATCGCACAACAGAATGTAATTTCTGTTCCAGGCGAATCTGATACCGTTTTCTCTTCTCCTTGAGCACCCACAGAGTTGTGATATACATTTACACACACACACACACACACACACACACACACACACACACACACACGCGCGCGCGCGCGCGCGCACGCGCACACACAAATAAAATAAAAATAAATCTCAAACAAACAAACAAACAAACAAAAACTTACCAAGCCAGACAGGGTGTCATGCCCCTTTAATCCCATTACTGAGGAGGCAGTGGCAGGTGGATCTCTGAGTTCAAGGACAGCCTGGTCTCAAAAAAAAGAAAAAAGAAAAGAAAAAAAGTCATGACAGATGTGGTAGCCTACACCTTTAATTCCACAGGCAAGACAGATGTCTATATTTGAGGCAAGCCTGGTCTACACAGATAGTACTAGGCCAGCCAGGGCTACATAGTGAGACTAAGTTTAAATAAATTAACAGATAGGAACACTTACTGATCTTGCAAAGGTCCCAGTTCAGTTCCCAGCACACACTTCGAGCAGCTCACAATTTATTCTATCTCCCAGCTACAAGGGATTCGATGCTCTCTGCCCTCCTCTGGCCTCTGCGGGCACCTCTGTACATGTCGGTCACATACATTCACACAGGCATACACATACACATAGATAAATAATTTAAAAGTGGGATGTGTTGATAAAATGCTTGCCACACAAGGAGCAACAAGAGTGTATAATCCCAGGGGAAGGAAGACAGGAGGAGCCCTGGGGCTTGATAGCCATCCAGCCAGTATAGCTGAACTGGTAAACTCCAGACTCAGTGAGAAACCCTGTGTCAAAAAATAAGGTGGTGTTAGCCTCAGCAGCACACTAAAATTGGAATGATAAGGAGAAGATTAGCATGGCCCCTGGGCAAGGATGACACTCAAGTTCTCTAGAAGCATCCCATAAGGCGAGGGGAAATGATAAGGTGGAGAGTGATTGAGAAAGACACTTGAAGATTGAGCTCTGGCCTCCACACATGTGGAGGTACACACGCTACACATGTGTATACACTCGAATACAGAGCTGCCTCCTTAATGCTGGTCACCTGAAACAGACTGACTCATTGTTTTGTTTGGTTGCAGGAAAGATCTCACTGTGTAACCCAGACTGGTCTTGAATTCATAATCCTTCTGCCCCAGCTTCCTAAGTGCTGAGATTATAGGCTTGTGCCACCTTGCCAAAAGCTCTTTCTTTGGGTGGGCTGGGAGGAAGGTTTTGAGACAGGGTTTCTCTGTGTAGCCCTGGGTGTCCTGGAACTTACTCTGTAGACCAGGCTGGCCTCAAACTCATGGAGATCAACCTGGCGAAAGGCTCTTGATTTGTATTTTATTTATAATTTATTTTTATGTGTATTGGTGGTTTGCCTACGTGTATGTCTATGTGAGGGTGTTAGAGCCTGGAGTTACAGACAGTTGTGAACTGCCATGCAAGTGCTGGGAATTGAACCTGGGGTCCTCTGGAAGAGCAGTCAGTGCTCTTAATCACTGAGCCATCTCTCCAGCCCTGTATTTTATTCATAAATACCCCCCTCACAAGACTGGCAGGTTGCCTCCCTCCACAAAAGCAGAGAACTTGCTTGCCACATGACCTAGTACACCTGGCAGGCTCCTTGACCCATAGTAGGAGGCTCAAAAATTGTTTGTTGAAGACTTGTAGCTCAGATAGTAGGGTGCTTGCCTGCCAAGCACAAAGCCCCGAATTCAGTCCTTGGCACCACATGAACTGGGAGTGCTTGTGTGCATCTTCAGTCTAAAGCCACTAGACTCTAGGCACTTGGGAGATGGAGGCAAGAGGTTCAGCTCAGTATCATCCCCAGATACATATCCAGTTCAAGGGCATCATGGGATGGTCTGGGACACGTGAGACCCTGTTTTTTAAAAAAGAAAGGGGGGGGGACGGACGAGGAAGGCACTGAACTCAGCCTCCAGGGTGTCAGGAGCCTTGGAATGCGCTTAAGCAAGACAGTGTCAGGATTCAGCTCGTGTTTTAGAAACCTCACCCTGGTGGCTGTGCATAAGATGGATTATGGATTGCGGAGGGAAGGCAGGCGACAAGAGGAGGGGGAACTGAGGAGCCACTGGGGGAGACAAAGACACAGCACCTGAGGCTGGGCCTGAATGCCCCCTGCCTGTGAAGCTCTGAACCCCCTCCTAGTCCTCTCCTCCACCCCCCAGGCCTGTTGTCTTGAGCAGCAGTGGGAAGGACAGGGCTGGCAAAACTGACACTCACTAATCACGGCCCTCACCCCAGAGCCGCACTGACTGTCTGGTCTCCATGGAGACACGGCAACCTCCGGCCACTTGTTAATGGCAACTCAACAAGGCTGCAGCAATGGGGACGGGCCTGACCAGTGTGCCCAGCTCCGCACCATTCATCCCAGCTTGGGCCTCTGCAGAAGACCCCAGGGGTGCCGGAGTTGGGGCACAGGAAGGAGGTCTGGTGGCTGGGAGATACTGCACCCCTCTGCGGCCCCGCCTCCCTTGGCACTGCCAAGCAGCGAGGGCAGAGGCAGTCTCTGCCCTGGCTGACTCCTCCGCAGGGCTGCTGGGAAGCTGAGCTCATGCAGGTCACCCAGGCAAGGCCAAAGGGCTGGCGGGGGATGGTGCGGAGTCCGGAGGGGATCTGCCTGCATCCCACACACAGCAGAACGGAGGGGGATGAGCTTTTCCTGCACCAACAACCCTCTGCTCTGCTAGCCTGAGGCAGGGGCCCAATTGGGAACCATCTGTCCAGAACCTCTTCCCAGAGCACTGTCGCTACAACGGAAATGCCACCATTAGCAATTCGTTCCATCAGGAGGCAGCATGGCTTAGCACACAAAACGCTGGCTTTGCAGTCAGGCCAGCCCAGCCTGGGTATAAAAGCCTGGCTCTGTCCCTACCATTGAGCATTGATTTCTCCATCTGTAGGATGGGGACGATAATCGCGCGCGCGCGCACACACACATGTGTGTGTGTGTGTGTGTGTGTGTGTGTGTGTGTGTACATGCACAGCTGGAAGTGCTACGGTTATTTCCTGGAGACCAAGTCTCAAGTCTCAATTCCTGTGCCTTCCCCTCAACAAGCCGTTCCTTTTGCCTCTTCTTTTCTCCCCTTTCTTTCTTTCTTCCTTTTTTTTTTTTTTTTTTTTTTTTTTTTTATGTTTTTGAGACAGGGTGTGTTGCCCAGGCTGATCCTGAACTAGCTAAGAGTGACCTTGAACTCATATACTCTTGTCTTCACTCCCCAAGTGCTGGGATCGCAGGCCTGTGCTGCCTTGCCTGGCAACTGCAGGCCTTTCTTAGCCACCACAGACCATCTGGGTCCTCTTCCACACTTCCCAGGATGATCCCACAGATGCTCCACCCTCCTGTAACTGTCCCACATTTGTGGTCCCCATAGACTGGGCTGGGTAGAGTGAGCCTCAGGGACAAAACTGGTGAAATAAACAAGGGGGAGGAATGGGGGTTCTCTTGTCTTTTTTTTTTTCTTTTTTGTCTTCCTTTTTCCTGCTAAGCATTCCATGGAGGTCTCTTTTCCCTCTCCCCTTCATACTGCTGTTCATCTATCCATCCCTTCCACAAACAAGGACTGCACCCCTCTTTTATATGGGGGTCTCAGAGGTGCAGATATCACCTTAGCCTCAGATAATACAAGAGCCAGGCATCCAGATAGCAGGCATCCCACAGTTGGCTGGGGGCCCTTCCCACACTGGTTTTCCGCGTTCATTCCCTAGGCAATGCTGCAAGACTAAAGAGTCCTGGGAACTCATCTAGTCCAATCTGTGGAAGCCATCAGGATGAAAAAACGAGGCTCAGGGTGGCCCAGGATCCCACAGCAGCTCCATTTTGAAGCTGACAATGTGGGTCTGCTTGGGAGGTGACTTTTTTGGCTTTCTGGACCCTGCTGACAGCTGCTTTTCCCAGCAGCAGCTGGAATGCTGGTGGGAGGCCTGCCTGACCTTTGCACCCTGACTCCCCAGGGCAGAACCAGGTGGTTCTGTTGGGGCCCAGGGTGAAGAGGTGGGGTCAGGGGATGGCTGTGAGTGAGCAGTGAGGGCACGGGGCAGCTGGAAGATAAGGGACACAGTGTTTATTCTGTAGACCCAATCAGGGGCTCTGGCTGGATAAACCTGGTTTTTCTTCCTTTTTTCTTTTTTCTTTCTTTCTTTCTTTTTTTTTTTTTCAGACAGATTTCTCTGCGGCTTTGAAGCCTGTCCTGGAACTCACTCTGTAGACCAGGCTGGCCTTGAACTCACAGAGATCCGCCTGCCTCTGCCTCCCAAGTGCTGGGATTAAAGGCATGCGCCACCAATGCCCGGCAAACCTGTCTCTTATTAATGAAATGTTATTACCAATGAAAGATAAAAAGTATTTGCCAATGGAGGCAACCATACAAAGGTAAGGAATTTTTATCTGGGGCTGAAAGAGCTGGAGGCCACAGAGTGAGCCTGTATCTCTATCCTGTGCATTACCTTTGCAGAATTGGAGACAAAGATTTGTCCAGTCCAGACTGTTCATTTGCTAAATGAGGAAATGAGACCAGAGATGGGGAACAAGTTGCTCAAGGTCACACAGCCATTGTGGGACCAATGTGGGCCCAGAGCCCAAGCTGTGCACAAGGTCCCCTGCCCAGCTGCCTTGCTTGCTCATTCAGCCCCTTGGTTTTGTCTCCCCCAGCGAGTGGGCGCAGAATGGGCCCAGCTTCCTTCCTGCCGCCCTGCCCGCCGTCTGCCACGTTGGCAGCCGCCTGAAGCCTTCTCGCCCCTGCTGCTGCTGCTGCTGCTGCTGGCGCTGCTGAGACCAACCAGCCGAGAGTTTGCCCAGAGCAGCCAGGGCTGCCTGAGCCTGAGCTGGGGCAGGGCTGGCTGATTCTGCCAGATGGGAGGGAGAGAGGCAGCCAGTGGAGGGAGGGAACTAGAGCTGAGCCCTCTGCTCTCACCAGCCAAGGGAGGGAGGTAGAAGACTGTGGTTGGGGGCTAGGAGGCTGGAATATCTGACCATGAGGTTCAGACAGCTGGGTCTGCCCCCTCAGGAGCATGTACACACACACACATTCACATACACACACACACACACACACACACACGCCTGAAAAAGAACACTGAGGGTAAATTTATTTGCTTTATGTGTGCAAGTTCTGCTGTGTGTACATTTGTGCTGCTCAGACACCCACTGTGTGTTTGTATAAGCACAAGAAAAAGTCGTGTGTGTCCTGTGTTTGAATTCAGGCTACGTGCAAAGAAATGCTGTGTCTAGCAGTGTGAGCACCTCAAAACCAGCATATAAGACATCACTGACAAGGAATCCAGGTGTACACAAAGGGGTCAGTACATGTGCCTGACTTTATGTATGCCACGTCAGGGTGTGTCAGGCGTTCCCATGAACTTGTTACAGTTGACAAGAGAATAATGAGGTAATTATGAAGAAGACATCGTGGGGATGTCTGCCTTAAGAGATGCTGTGTGAGACTGTGGTTTGGTAATCTGCATCTGGGAAAATGCTGTGTAGCTGTGTGGGCTGGACCAAATGTCCAGGGGTAGGCATGCAGCATCTCTGTGGCTATTGATGGTGGCATAGGGGAACGTTATGTGTCTGTATGTATTTGGTTGTGTGTATGAGAGATTAGGAGGCAGGACGGGGGGATGATGGTTGGTGGCGCTGTGCAGGGCAACACTGCTCAGGATTTGCACTTGTTTCTCTGTATGGCAGGGCCTGTATGTGCCTGTGTGTGTGACTATGTACTGTGTGATGGAAACCACGTGGGTCTGTAGTGAGCTGAGCTTGGAAAGGGAGGGTGTCCATGCCTGGGTTTGTATTTATCTGTGCGCCCCAGGTCAGATTCGTTCCTACCTCCTGTGTGCACAGGTGGCTGCTGTGTCCAACCGTGTCTTTGTGTGTTTCAGGTTGCCTGAATGTGCACAGAAGGAG